CGCGCTACGAAAGCCTTGGGATACTCACGACCTGTGAATGCTTTCTGTCTTGCGTACGGATGTCACTAATATTTAATTGTTGTTTCTACTGAGTCCCGTCAGTAATATGACTCATAAAGATCTGTAACTGCCAGCTCTCATAGTCGCCAGCTCCGCAGCATACCCATGCCACCTTCAGCCTGTCTAAATCGCGTGAGTCAACCTCCGGCTTGCGACGCGGTGACGCCGAGCGATATTTCCCCCTTCGCCAACTGGCCGCAACAGGAAGAAGTGCGAGCGTAGGCACTCTGACTAAGACTTGTCTGATGAGAACGCAGGCTGACATTGTTTGTCGAGCTGCGTGTATAATACGTCGTCTCAATAAACCTTGCCCGTCAAACTGTCTTCCGGGTTAGGAACCTTCAAATTGTCGGCTATCCCCTACTGGCAACCTATATCGAGGCGATATCGAGCAGATATCTATTTTCCGCGATACTCCAGAAACAGCGATAGGGGAACTTTAGGCACTGTGAACACCGATTTTACTTTATTGAATTAAAAAATTTAGAAAAAAAATTTAATTCGGTTGGCGATTTCGAAGATGAATGTCGGTCTCCTGTCAAATACCCCGCATTGTTTTCTATTGGACAGGATAATTTTTTTATAAAATTTGAAGTTAACTCACCTGTCTAGTTTGGCATCTCATTGTCGTTCTGACGTAATTGCCCAGCGGCCTTTTGAGTCGCTTGGCAGCGCAGTAGTGTTCTACGCAGCGAAAACGTCTACATGTAGGCAATGAAACAATGAATTACCAACTTGCCCAATATGACTTTATAAATGTCCGACTGACTGGGGCTGTTCATTAGCTTCCGTCACTTAAAGTCGACGTTGATGCTAATCTCTAAAAAGAAGCGTAAGGAAGATGCGCTTAACAAAGTCGTCCAAATTAATCCCCCGCCCCCCAAGACAGGTAAGACGACAGTGATAAAGGGGACATCATACCAGTTGGCTGCGTATTCCACTGTCCTCAAGTAGGGCAAGCAAATGACGAAATTTCGCTGCCTTCTTCGTCGGCTTCTGCAACGGGTTTCTCGACGGCTGAATGAGCAAAGTACCAGCGGTTTGCCGTTGAATATCTCGCGCCTCCTATTCCCGTATGCGGCCGAGAAGCCGACGGTTACTTTCAACGTGTACGTCTACTTTTCTGGACACTCCGGCTACATGTGTGATCAGCAGCGCTATGACCTTGTCCAAGTCGGTCGGCCAGTCGTTGGATAGCTGTTATCAGAAAAGTCGGCTGGGTCTGGGTGAAGACCGATATACAAGACATAAAAGCCATGCAAGCCGACAATCGCCGAGCGTTGCAAGCAGTTAGCTTTGTTTCGAAAGAGAAGCCTTCCCTTCTACAGCTGCCTTTGCGGACTGCCGAAGCGTGCAAAGACTTCCTTACGAAAATTGGATTGGACAATGAGCTAGCGCAGGAAACGGTATGTAAGGAAGCTTGGACACTCTTTATGGCTTATAGGCAAAACATTTGTCCACCGTTGGGGGACGGACTGAAAAGGAGTTCGTACGTAATCTCCTGACAGCCCTTCTAGGACCTCCCCTCTGCCAAAGTTTCTGTTGGGCTGGTTCCAACGACAAGAAGTCTTTTGTAGGGAGCCCTCTATTCAGTGTCCTAAGTGGTCTGTTTATTATGTTTTTTTAACACCTGCAGATGCAATACGCTGTAATGAGCAGTACCGTAGCTGCCATTCCGAAGTAATTCGGCAAACAGCTATTGAATGGTTCCATGGAACACGAGACAGATACGGAGGGCGGGCAAAATGGCGCCGCACTGCTGATATGGTACATATTTTTCTAACAAGTTATTACAACACATTGAATTAGGGTTCCCCGGGATAGTTCAGCGAGCAGTCTTGACTTTTCGCAATCAATATCGGAAGACACAGTAACTTAATACTTCCAAT